TCTTCTTCCCTGTGTGTTTCTCCCAGGGCTCAGGGATCAGTAATTTACAGCTAAGTAGAAGCATGTTTCAAACCTATTTAAAAGCATCTGCAAAGAAGAGAGTTTAAAGACTTGCGACCAAACTCTGCCTTGTTGTTTAACCTTGTTTGGAAGTGAGTGGAGTTGCCAAGGTGTAAATAAGAGAAGAATTTGGCTTTGCATAATTTATTTTTAAAGGATTTCCTGTTAACTTCTGTCTTTAAAAAACAATCAACAACTAACCTTGCCTCACAACCTACCAATACAGAACAAAACACCCACAAATCCCTCCAAACTCAGGAATCACATCACTTTAGGAAAGATCGGTTTCTAAGCAGCAGATAACAGAAAGGAAGAACAGGGAAGCCCTGATCTCAGCTCTGCATTAACTGGCAGTGACATCGGAAGCTGTAAAAAAACCAAAAAAAGGCCTCAGATCAGATACAACAATCTGCTCCTTTAGTTCATTTCCCGATGGAAGCTGAACGGTTTTTTTTCCCCTCTCTTTGCAATGCTGTAGCCAAGGAGTCAAACACCAAGACAACTGACAGCGGGGCAGAAAGCCCAACAGACTGTGGGACTAAGCCGGTGACTCGGCACAACCACATGGAGATTTGTTTTTCTAGTGAAGTGAGTTGCAATGAATAAAAGTTCCTGATTTTCAATCAGCAGGGGCTCCATGCTTTGTTTAAACTCCCAACTCAACCCACTGGACTTCCACCCCCCCCCCGGATGATTTGTTATTCGAAGCAGAGAGCTCCGAGTGCCAAAGGTTAGGTGTGTTTTTCAGAGGAAACAAAAGATACAGACACCGTGGGGACATGAGTGTGACATGAAGAATTGGATGGCACACCGATAGGCATCAGAAAATTCCCTGTTCGAGCTTCTACTTGCCTTGCGGCCCCGTTACTTGCCACGCGGGAATTGCAAGGACGAGCGGCACCCCAGCCTCGCTCCCGGCACAGGGGGAGGACGGAAAGGGCCCCGCCTGGGAGACAGACCTCCCCTCGGGTGTGCAGCTGGCACTGGAGCAGCTGTGGGTGCCCTTCTCCAGCGCCCCGGGAATCCCGCAGAGGTCACCGCGCTGCTGAAACGCCAGAGCCGTGTCCGCACCTCCCTCCCTCCCCGGCCAGAGCGGGAAACCCCTTCCCCGGCCGGCCCTCCGCGCCCAGGGAGCTACCGCCCGCGCCCGGCCTACACAGCAGCCGGGAAGAGCCGC